ACAAAGAAAAGTAAGTTAGAATCATAACTTCTTATTAAAGGAATCCCTTTCCTCTGTCAGAAGGAGATATGTGTAATAAAAGACCTAGAGCACATCTGGCAGGGGGGCAGCTGTAGATCTCACTCATAAGCAGGTGGGGGTCAAGTTCAGCAGAGGGAACCTGCTGCTCCAGGGCTTGCGAGGGGCAGTGCCGGGCCCTTACCTTCTGCAGGCACTCGAGCACCTTGGCCATGTAGGTCTCCTGGCACTTGTACGGCTGGAAGGGGAAGTCCACGGGGACGCCGTTCAGGGTGATCCTGGGCATGTTGCCTGCAAGGGGCCGGAGAGGAGGCACGTGCTAGCGCAGCAGCCCCCCGCGGTGCCGGCAGCGTAACACGGGCATTAACGCGACGGGGGCGGCGCCGGTAACGGCAACCGCTCCGCCTGCCTTCGCCGCGGGGAGACCCCCGGGCCCTCACAGGCCGTTACCGGACGGGGCCACTTCCCTCGCAGCGCCCGCCCGTCCTCCCACACGATGGTAGCCGGAGCCGCCACCTCCCCGAGCCCCATCGGGTCGGATCGGGGCCAACCCGGTCCAGGCCCAAGCCTCCCCCCCGTTGCCATGGAGACCCGCGCAGCGCCGCCTCACCTGCCCGCTCCGCCGTTCAGACTGCCCGCGCCCGCCCTCCTCCCGCGCGTCACTTCCGGCGCGCGCGCGCTCTCGCGAGACTGGCAGCGAATGAGCCCAGAGGTGGCGGTGAGGGGTGTCCTCGTCACAGCCCCGAGCTGCGGCTTTTTGGTGGCCTCTCCTTGGGTTATCGCCTTCATTCTCCGCCGTGTCCCACACCAAGTGCAAGCCCTGGCTTGGTGGGTGTTTCTGAGCGCGTTAGCTCCATAGCTTGCGCAAGCCATGCAGGATTAGGCTGCGGAGGCAGTGATTTGTGGCACTGCTGGGCTGTGAGGATGTGGAATGAGGTGTGTGTAACAGAAAATAAAGCTTTTAAAGTGGTTGTAAACCTGTCAATTCCCCCCTGTTCTTTCTGGCGTTATTTCTTGAAATTATCTTTCATGTATTGAAGAATATCAGTATCATATAAAATTAAAATTACTTAAATAACAGTTAAAATAAGAGATAACAAAGGTTTAAAACTGGCTGTAAACCTGCCAAATCCTCCCTGTCCTTTCTGGTGTTATTTCCTGAAATTATCTTTAATATATTGAAGAATATCAGTCTCATATAAAGTCAACATTACTTAAATAACAGTAAAAATAATCTGATTTAAGCGGTGTTACCTGGAGGACGGAGCGCCGGGAGGGTAGCAGGCCCCATGACTCAGCAGATGTGCCCTGTCCAGGGGCCGGGATGACTCAGCACCGCCGAGCGGCTCCGAGGGCTCCTGCTCTGCACCACTCACCTCACTTGACCACGTCTGCAGTGCCAGCCCCGCCGGCGGCAGCTCCGGCGCTTCTGCAAACCGGGAACAGGGCGAACAGCGTCTTGTAAGGGTAAAGAGAAAGATCTGCTCGCCATTCAGCTCAGAAAAAAATAACATAAAGGTTTGTTACAGCCAGAGCGTTTGTGTGCGTTGTGACACGTGTGTTCAGACATCGTTCTTGTTCCTGGGTTCTCATTCAGGGGTTTGGCTCCCTAGGATAAAATGTGCGGTCTTACAGGCCACGGGTTTGGGGAGGGAAAAGAGAGTTTTTAGGGTGGCAGAGGGGATGGTGACAGTGACAGTTAACGGCTTCCAGGAGCCCCCATCCCATTGGAAACGCGGCCCTCCAGGCGGTCTGCGCTGCTTCCTCGGGCTGGCAGGTGGTGAAGGCCTTGGGTGACCTATTTCTCCCTTGAAAGGGGGCAGTATGAAGCAAAGACATGTCTATAAGAAAAGAACATATGGAAGAAAAAACCTTTAAAAAGCCAGTCCTCAACCCCCACAGGGAAGTGGATGCGTGAGTGACCCTGCAGGGAGAAAGCTGGCAGCACGCAGGGGTGCAAGGAGGACAATTATCACTTCTGTTTGGAGGACAGCAAAAATCTCCACGATTGGCACAGAAGAGCCTGAAGAGCCTCAACGACCAACCGTGAGACCACTGCTATTCATGCGAAGGATGTTTTTCTTCTCTTAGATATGAGAGGGTGAAGTTGCCATTCATTGCCCTCCTGAGGATATGAGATGGTTCCTATGGTAACCATCTGAAACTTTTGTTTGACCACATAATTATTTATTTGCTTGACTCCAGATAATCCAGAGCCATGCTGCCCTTTGACTGCTGGGAAATGCGTGAAATAAAACGGCTTTCTCTTTGTCACACTGATTTTAATCACAATCCTCCTGTTATTGGAAGGAATTACCTATTGTCCGATGAGGAAACTGAAGCAGATGGGATTAGTGATTCGGGGAAGGCCACGTGACAAATTGTTGTGGAAATCAGAACTAACAGCTTCACGTGCTCCACATTTTCTGTTCTTTTCCAGCTGCGGCTCCTCAGTCGGGGCTCTAGCTCTGCCCTTCTACATTTTTTTCCCTTTTTTTTTTTTTTTTGTACACCCTTGGCCAGTTTTAACTGAACAGGCCCTGTGATGACCTGAATTTATAGATTGCTTCACACTTTTAAGTGACTGAATTAATACCTCTCTTCTCCCTCCTCGTGATTCAGCTCCTCTGTACAATTTGGCCTCATTTCTCAGGTGCACATGATAGACACCAAAGAAGAAACATTCAGAATAACCCTTGCCTCAGGGAAACACTTTCTTGAGCTATTGTTGATGTTGTTATCACTGGTTTCTCTTTCTAAGTTGCTAAATTCTGCAGCGTTTCCTTAAACTGGGCTCAGGTAGTTTTTCTGCCTGACAGCTACATTCTTTATCTCCATTCTCCTGTGTTGTTCAATAATTTGACTTAATAATTTGACAGCAGGGGGTTTGACTGCTGCTTTATGCAGGATTTTTATTATTTAATGAAAAAAAGTCTACTTAGCTCCTTGAGACTGAAATGTTACTGGAAGGTCTCATAGCTACACTAATGCCTTAGCTGTGCTGTTGGGTTGGAGTCATATATGACGATCCCTGCTCTTTCTTTTAGACCAGGGGTTTTTCATCCTTCAACCTTATTTCGTTAGTCCCTGGATTCAATTTTCCCAAATACTGGTGCTTGCAAGCCTGACTTATGCCAGACTTAAAGCCACAAATAAGAATACAGAGGCCTGTGACCTTCCCGTAAGAGCCACAGATCTTGCACACAAATCTCCCTTTGTGAACAGCTGCCCTAGATATTCCCTATCGTGACGCACAAGGAGGATTGCCCAAGCTCTCTGGTTTGGGGATGTACCCAGTATTGGGGAGATAGTTTGCTCTGTTTCTCTATCACATTGGGAATTTTCTTTCTGTTCTTCAAAATAAATAGATCAATCCCTCCCGTCCCCCCACCCAGCAGTCTGCATGTACTTGCTACAGTAAACTGACATGTTTGCTTTTCTTTTTGAAAATTTATATTTGTTGAAAATATGATTGGAAGTATTGGAAGATGCCTTCCTCTGGCATGAGACCTGTAGGGATCTTTAACTGTTAAAACAAATGAAAATATTTCTAATGCAGTAGTGAAAAAAGTGCATGCTACAAAGTCAGTGTCTTTGCTGTTTCTCTCAGAAAAATCTGTTGTTTTGTAATAGTCTGCCTGGGTAGATATCACATGTGATGAAGGGAAAGGACACGTTAGGAGAATGCTCCCCTATTTTCCCTAATCTTTGTCACAAAAAAAATACCCAGTGCCTTCAAATGCTCCCTAGTGAAAATCAGGGACAACTTGAAATGATAATTACGTTTAAAATAGGGAGGAAGATTTGGCAGGAGAGTTTCAACGCAAGAAGAAAGCAGAGAAAGGCTGCACCTAGGAAACAGGCCTTGGACAGAAGAGAGAGATTAATTGTCCCCTTGGACTAGAAAAGCTCCTGCTCCAAACATAGATTGAAATGTTATGCACAATGTTAGTATTTTTCTGAATCAGATTTGATATTCTACAGTAATTTTTTTCAGTGCTAAAGAGACTTTTATGTCATTGAGAGATGAGGACACGTAGGGATGGGAGGTAAAATATAAGGGGAATAAGAAGGAAAATCCCTCTTTAATTGCATGCAGTAGGTGCTGTCTGTGGCTTCGACTCGTGCAGGTCCCTGCAGCGCAGGGGCTGCCCGGCCCTCTGCATTGCAGCGACTCGGGCTGCGTTGGCAGGAGGGGACACATGGGTGCCAGGAGGGGACACGCGGGTGGCAGGTGCCCCAGGCCGTGCGGGAGCCCCGTGCGAGCGCCCCGAGCTGCGGGGTCTGCTGGAAAAGGAGGTGCAGGTCGTGCCACCGTGGCCGGGCGGATGGGACAGGGGAGCGGCAGCCGGCGGTGGGTGCGGGGACATCGCGCCCACAAGGTGTCTTTGGTCTGGAGTGGGTGTGCGGTGCTTGGGAAGCCCCTTGCAACAGCCACGCCAGGAGAAATGATAGAAAATATAAAAGGAAGAGAAAAACAGAGAAATAGGAGCTCCTGATACCTGGGGAAAAATGAAATAGAAGAGGCAGGGGAGCCCAGTGAGGCCGGAGGGCTCCGTCCTGCTCTTGCTCCCCCACTTTTGCAGCAGTTTCTCCTCCCGCTGCCGCAGGGCGATCCCTTTTGTGCGCGGGAAGGTGCGGAAGCCGCCTCGGGATGCGGAGCGGCCTCCGGCTGCTCCTTCCTTTGCTGTTTGTCCAAAGCTGCCGCAAGCTTCAGGTTTGGGCTTTATTTCCCTGGCGAGCTCAGGCTGCCTGACCTGTGGCTTGCCAAGCCTTGGAACGACCTGTTTTTTTTTTAAAAAAATAGTGAATTCACACATTTTTGCTTTCAAGAGACAAGGGGAAAAACGGTTTAGCCTGTGTAAAACAGAGAAGAAAGGGAAGAAGAGGGGGAAAACCCATCTTTTTCCCGAGCCCCGGCTGGGTGTGCCTGCTCCCCCTCCCCTCGCGCCTCCGTGTTCCTGGCAGGCAGCGGCGCTGGGAGGGATCTGCCGTCAAAGCCACCCAGGAAAGGAGGCCTGATGCGCTCATTAATATTCCCAACTAGTGACCCTTCCTCCTCTTTCCTCCCCTTCCCGTCCTCCCAGCCCGCCAGCCTCTCCCAGCCTCCGATGGCTGCAGCCCCCTCGCGCTGAGTCAGTCGTGCCCTCCCCGCAGCACTGCAGCAGCTCCGCAGCCTCCCGCAGCGCCCGCCGCCTCCGCGCCATGGCCAGCACCGTCTCAGGTGAGCGCCGCTCCTGCACCACGGTCCTGCTTATTTCCTTGCTGTTCTTGCAAGCTTTGGGGGGGTTCTTTTCTTTTTCCCTTGCATTTTGGGGGAGTTCGGTGGTGGGGAGAGGGCTGCTACGGCAGCTTTGTTCCCCGTCCTCCCCCAGTCACACACCCCTCTGATGCAAGATAGCAGGTGGGCTTTTTATTTTAATATGAATAAACACACTAATCTAAAATACTCCCAACCTTACATTTAACCCTAAGAAGATGCTGCTGCATGTCAATTAATGGCTATTTTTGTAACATAATGCAGCTTTTGTAACACAATGCAGCTTTTCTTTTTTTTTTCTTTCCCCTCCCCTAAGAAAAAGCTGCTCACTGTGTAGCTGGATGCAGAGAAACTAGAAATTACATTTTGTTTTGTGAAAATGATTTATTTCCCAAACAGATCATGGAATGAATACATAATTAAATAAATAAAAGGAGATTGGCAAGAAATTGGCAGCAATGCCCTAAAAAAAATGCCTCCGAACCCAAAGGGAAAAACCTAGAGGGTTTCTGTGCATTCTCGGAGCTTCCCATCACACGTATCTTGCACAACTTGCGTTTCTTCATTAGAAGATGCTACAGGGGAGCGGTCCTCTGATGGCGTTGAGTGCAATCCAGTGCTGCAAGGGGAGCCCTTCCTCCCTCCTGCAGTAAGAACGGGAATAATAGCAGTGCTGCATGTCGTCCTCGCCGCCGCGGAGCTGCCTCCCAGCGCCGGGCTGGGCTGCTGGAGGGATGCTCTGCTGCAGCAGGGAACCTGCCCTCACCAGGACTCCAGCCACTTCCCTTTTTCCTTTTTTTTTCCTGGGGAGAAAGGATTCAAATGTCTGGAATGGGAAACCTGGAGGAGAAGAAAAGCCTGGAAGGGTATAATGAGCAGTGGATGGGTTTGGAGGGTGTTTTTTTTTTTTCTTTAAAAAAAAATAGAAAGAAAAAGAAAAGAAAAGAAAAAGTTCTCTCTTAGAACTGCTCTTAATTCTATAGTGCTTTATAGAGGGGCTTGAGTGGGTGAAGCTCAGTCCTAGACAGCAAGGATATAGGTCTGAATGGGAACAGAAGACAAAAAGGAGAAGTGATATTGCCTTGTGCCCCCTCCCAGGCAGAGCAACAGCCAGGGGGATCCCAGGCAATATTTCTTGCTTCTTTCACTGGCTTTTCTCTGTATTTCTTGCTGTGTATTTTCTATTGCTTTCTCCCTTTAAAAGATCAGTAAAAGCAACAAGAAAACGGCAGAAAGATGGGGGGTGGCTAAGGGTGCAGTTCATCCAGAGTAGGCTTTGCATGCCCTTTGGAAAAGGCAAAGGAACATGGTAAAAATGTGTCTAGATGATAGAAAATCTTCAGTTATTGTATATACTAGTGTGAATATCCCTCTGTCAATGGGCGTGTGTGCTGGTCTCTGCTCTGAAGGTCCCACCCATCTGCCTTCCTCTCCTGCAGAATCGGATCTAATTTGCAAAGTGGGGGTGGGAGGGAGAGCTCAGACCTAGCAGCCATCTAACCAAGGTTGCATCGAACTTGGCATGACTGAGCAGCCATGAAACACCCATGCACACGAGGTGCATTTTTCACTTGGTGCATTCTTGCCCTCCCAAGCCCACCATAGATCTGTGGCATATTTCACCTTCTCGAAAAAGCAGTTTTACTGTCAAAGGAGACTTAGAATCATGTTGAAGATGGTGCTTCAGAGAAAGCACGTTTCCTTTTGGCTCAGATCAAGCAGAGAAACAGCTTCAGAAAGTAGAAAAGTCATGGGAAAGCAGCCTTGTGGCAGCAGGAAAAAAGAATAGAGAGAAAGCGTTTGCTGAGGAGGGGAGCCAGGCTGAGCCTCGCCCAGCCGCTTTGCAGGGAGCAGCTTTCCATTAACTATTGCATTTATAGCAGGCATAGAAAGTAGACTGCAAAAGCAAGAGAATAAAGGCAAACAAATCCTGTAAATGGAGGAAATCGGTTTTATTCCTTTGTTTCTTTATTTTCTTTTTTTCTTTCTTTTTTTTTTCACAGCAAATCTTTGTTATAAGGAGCCATCTGTAATTGTCTGCAGCTGGTGCCCATGGGCTTATCCCCCTTGGGAAGATTTTCTTGGGTTCGTTTAAACAAACAAATCGAGATGAAAAGAAGCGTCTCTCTGCTCCCCCTTTCCCCCCAGCCGTCTCCATGTCCTATCCGCCCCCTCGGGTGTTTTTCCCCTGGCCGTGGTGGTTGTTTTCCCGATGAAGCAGCGGAAGCGGCGGCCCATGCTCAGGGCGGGCTCGGCTGCAGTGCTGGCCATGCTGTGCGGGCAGACCCTGCAGGCAGAGCCCTGCTGCCTCCCCGGAGAGCATCCCGGCAAAATATTAGCCTTTTTATACCGGGAAGGGGGAAAAGAACCAGGTAAAGGTGAGCTCCGCCAGGCTCTCTAACTTCTACCATCATCCGTAGGTGTCTGGGTTGGATAAAAGGGCAGGTGAGCAGCAGGGGCTGTTCTTGGAGATTACGAAATGATGCAGTAAGTTGAAAGCCTCCTGGGCTTTTCTTGGATATATGTCTGAGGAGGAGGAGCCAGGATGAAGCACCGTGGTTTGCTATTCCAGGCCTTGCAACTGGACATCATGCGGTATATCCGCCTGGACAGATCACAGGATTTTGCCCTCCTTCATTGAAATGTGAGAATCGAATGACTAGGTAGGTGTGGGTTATCCCCTCTGTCCCATTCTGGACTATAGTGATGGACACCATGCAGAACTGCCAAATTGTCACTGATGCGGGACACAAGCCAGTCAGAGTCCATTTTGTCTAGCCTCTCCATCTCTCTGTGTTCTCAAGAAATTATTTTTTCTTTTTCTCTCCTTTCTTCAGGTGTTGATGGAATATATATGGCCTTTACTAGAAATTCATGGTACTTTATTGGAACTTCAGCTTCACAAGCCAAGAGAATCCACTTTAGGCATTTATTTTCCCCCTCCCACTATATCCAACCAGGGTACTAAATCATTGGGAGATGCTTGTCCTTTCTAAAATATGAATCATATCTTTATTGGTGGCACCTTATAGATTCTGTGGGACAGGATCCTTCAGCGCCCTTTCCTGGAGTATTTCAATGCTGGTTCATCTCTAGTGAATGCATTGCTTTAGCAAATGAGTGCATTTTCCTTCTCTAAAGGAAAAACTGAGATTTAGTGATGTGACGTAGCAGTTGGAAGGGCTGAAGACAAGATCTTCTGAAGAATAAATGTAAGACTTGTGTGACAGCCATGTAGCCAGCAGCACGGTTGGCATCTTCACACCTCCTTAGGGGGAATTGCACTAACGGTTCTTGATTACAACACTTGGAGGGAGTCTCAAGCTCACCAGGTGTTCTGTGCCGTGTTCCCCTAAAATTAACGAAGAACATGGAAACCTTCTAAGAAATTTTTCCTCCCCATCTCCCTAGGACATACTTTATTCTTTTAGGCATAAACCTAGAATGGAAAAAAAGAAATTCTATCCAGAGGGAAGTTTTACTGACAGTCAGTTCTTTGGCCATGATTTAGATATATGAAAGAGCCAGAGTGCTCAGCTGCCGCGTGCGTGTGCTGCAGTACGCCGGGAGCTGCTCAGCCCATTCCAGAACAGTCCTTTCATTCACCCAGGATACTGCCACACTTCCAAAGTCATACTTAAAAATCTTATATTCTCTGACTGTGTTTATACAAATAATAGCTCTTTATAATGGGTGAGTACAATAATCCCCATTTAATGGAAAGGGAAAATCCAAAGAGACCAAAGAGCAGCCTGTGCTCACACAGCGTATCTGTGCCTGAGACACGTTGTGGCATTGGACCCCTGTCCTCGACTCTCACATTAACTTCAGCCTTATCTCATCCCCAGCTCCTCTGCAGCTCTTTTTTCTCAACTGAGCCTGACAGTCTGGACCTATATTTGCCCAGAGGCAATTTGCCCAGAGACACAGGAATGGTTGCCACCATTTTGTCTTCTTCCTCTTTACTAGACAACCCGGCCCATGCTTCCTTCTTTCCATGAATCATTCCCTGACAATCAGGCACCCACCCATCCCAGGCTGCCAGGTCTCTGCTTCGCAGCTTGACCCTCTCCCTGTCACTGAGCCAGCAAAACAGATTTCCCTGGTTATTTTCCTGGGGGCAGCCCACATGTTCAAGTGTAATAGCTTAAGGAATTTGCCAGTCTATTGACTGTGCATAATAAGAGCTGATGTGGTATACACGAGCTGCAATGAAACCGGCAGGGAAGGAACCAGGTGATTGAAAACCCTTCCTGGATGCCAGTTTAGTAGATGTCCAAGGGAAGGAAAAGTAGTCCCTGCATCCCATTCATTTGGAATGAGTCCACAGGAGCTCACAGTAACTCTGGGCATCAAATAAATCCCCCGGTGAGCAGCTGAAATGGCATGTGGCATCACGAGGGCCACGGCGGCCCATCTGAAAGAGGCACCAGGGAGCTGCTACGCTTGGGCTGCCCTTTTCAGTACAAATGGAGCTGCATCAGCTCCGGCCCTCAGGAATCCCATCGGATTCTGTTGGTACCATTCCTGCCCATCCTGCAGACCTCCCAGGGATGTGAAGCACAGGCCTGCATTTGTTCTACCACAGTGAGAAAGGGAGGTGGTGGTAGAGAAAAGAGCTGGGGTTTAATCTTAGTGCTGACACACCTGGACACTGTCAGGAATTTTTATAGGCATGGGAGGTCTCTTCCTGACCTGTTAAATCAACAAAAGGAAAAAGAGGGTTAAACTGAAGAACTAGCTATTGTGTAGTATTATGCTAACATTTTTACCAGACAGGAATATCTACAGCCCATTCTACTCTCAAGACTTTCTGAGAATTATGCTTGCCTTTACTGTATATGACGGATTGCATTTTTTGTGTGTGTGATGAAGGACTCTCGATTCTTTGTCTCTTTCATTTTTCCTTTTTATTTTTATTATTTTTTTGCCTTGTTTGTGCTTTGGCTACATTTGTAATTGGGATATTCTCTTTTTATTTTATCATGGTGTATTATCTTTTATGGAAGCAATTCTTACTTCCCCCAAATTACCTTTGCAATGCAGGTAGTTTTCTGGTAATAACCTTCCTTTGACCTTGCTACCAGATACAGCACATTCAGCCTCATCCATCTAAACTGTGGGAACTCATAAATTAGTCTTGCTCTGTCTCTGGTTTGTTACGATTTTCTCTGTATCCATGTTGCGCCTAATGGCCTAGCTCCATTTTGCTGGACCTCATTAAACACCCAACAAAAAGACAGGCTGTTCAAACAGCCTGCGGTTTAATTTTCGCTAGTTAAGAGGCATAGAAGGAAACTTAATAACTTGGTTCCTGCTGGGGAGTCCGAGTGCATCCCGGGCAGGAAGATGATCCCGTTGCTTGTGCATCGCTCCCTGCCCCAGCGCCGGCTCCATTCCCTGGACCGCAGGCACTCGGGAGCAGCTGCCTGGTGTCTCCAGGGGTTAACCAGGAGATAAACACCTCACTGGATAGATGCTCTATGGGGTCCATGTCAAGCGGCAGGAATAAGGAAACACAGGATAGACTAAATATCGCTAGAGGGAGCTCAGGACGGGAGTCACTGGAGAAAGAACAGGCTGCTGGTTTCAGTGGGGAGACCCCTAAACTGCCGGGTTCTCCCCTTGCAGCAGGGCAGGAGTGGTGTTGCCTGGCAGTATGTGCAGTGGAGAGAGAAAAGTTAAAAAAAATGATTATTAGTATTAATTGCATGGTATTGGGTGCACAATGGAACATGAACAGAGCAGGATCAGAGTGTGCTGCATTCATATATTCAACATATTCACATATGTTGAGGGATTAATTGCTTCTTTCTAGATAGCACTATAGCTATTAAACCCAAGCTCCTGTGAAGACAATAAAATACAAGGTTGCAATACTTCACAGGATGAGACTCTGAAGTAGTTTTTTGTATCTCTAACACTTTACTCACTTCTTAATTTGCAAAACTCACCTATTTGCAATGTTACATCCCAATACTAATATTAAAGCAGTGAAGCTTGATGACTTCGTGGTGAAGACCATACCAGAGTGAATGAACTTGCTGGCTATCCTCTTATTGCAGTATTTGTCTGCAAAATAAAATGCCATTTATTTATACTTGAGGAAATATGTCATGGATTAGTGTGTGCAGTGAACTGGTTGCCCTATTCCTCCGTGTGTAGGCGAGCAAAGCTCCTGTGTGCCCCTTTCGGACCAAAGGGGTGCTCTGGTGTAATGTCCCATGGGAACTGTTGCTCATAAGGGTACAAGTTCGTCATTTTTTGTGACTTTTTGAGTTTCTGATCTTTAAACCTGTAACAGCTTTTTAATGGAGTCAGATAACCTGGTCAAATGCTATGAATATTAGTTTAGGTTAAATGGAGCAAATTTATTTTTACTAGCTTAGTAACTGATTCTTACTCACTTAAGAGAGTTCTGTTCTGTTTAACTGTCTCAAAATGTGTGGAATTTGTGGAAATTGCAATCTTTCCTGTCAGGGAATGCTCTACCCTATCGTGCTCTGGCCAGCCAACTTGGTGGAAGGGTTTTGCCCACTGCAACATGCAGGAGTTCCTCAAAGGCCCTGTCTATCTAGAGACAGCTGTGAGTGCAGAGCCTCCTGAAGCCAGGGAGTCAATGCAGCGGTTGCGATGATGCAAACTCTTCATCTCCTGGGAGTTTTGGGAATGCTTTTTGGGACACAGCGGACTGTGGGAGGTGGTCTTGCCTCAGGAGCTCTTGGGTGCTGCTCCAGCCCTACACCAGAGAACCCTTGGGTGCCCAGGCCCTTTGGCTCCCATCTCCTTCTCAGCACCACAGCGGGATCTGCTGCTCCTTTCCCGGTGCCTTCCGTTATTTTAGCCTCCAAAGCGCCTTCCAGGCCCTGTCCAGCAGGCACAGATACCATGTGGCGTCTGTCCCGAGAGCTCCAGCTCCAAAGCACACAAGGGACGAGGCGGGCAGCTGCTGGGTGTCGCAGTGGGTTTGCTGGCTGGGGGGTCAGTTCTGTGTATTTCTTTTGGGGGCCAGGGGTCCTTCTTGCTGGCATCCCTGGTGATGGCGATGCTGAAGGGACAACTGCACACCAGGGTCCTGGAGGTTCTTCTAAGGAAACAGCTCCTCTCTGGGGGCCCTGGGAGTGCTTCTAAAGGGACAGCTCCATTCCAGGGATCTCGCTAAAGGGACAGCTCCATTCCAGGCTTCCTGGGGGACAGCTCCTCGCCGGGGTCCTGGGTGTCCTACTAAGGGGCCAGCTGTGCACTGGGAGTCCCAAGGGTCCTGAGGGTTGCGTTGAAGGGGCAGCTTCACTCTGGAGGTCCCAAGGGTCCTGCTAAAGGGACAATTCCATTCCAGGGGTCCCACTAAAGAGCTAGCTCTGCTCTGGAGGTCCCAGGGGTCCCGCTAAAGGGCAAGCTCTGCTCCAGGGGTTCTGGGGGTCCCACTAAGGGGACATCTCTGTTCCACGGGTCCCACTAAAGAGCCAGCTCCGCTCCAGGCTCCTGGGCGTCCCGCTAAAGGGCAAGTTCTGCTCTAGGGGTTCTGGGGGGTCTCACTAAAGCACCAGCTCCACTCCAGGGGTCCCGGGGGTCCCACTAAGGGGACAGCTCCGCATGGGGGGCCCCGGTGCCGCTGCTCCCCCCGCTGCATCGGGCAGGCTCCGCCTCCTCCTCGCTTCAGCTGACGGGGAGATGGACAGTTTGCTCTGGTGAAGGGAAAACAGGACGGGAAGGATCCCCATGGAGCTACAACAGAGCTGAAAGGCATCCAGAACCACGAAACCAATAAGCAGAGGGATCTAGTGAAGTTCAAATAATGAAGAGCAAAGCGTCGAAGTGGTCGGACAGCCTTGAATGGGCAGCGTAGGGATGGGGCACATCTGCTTAGTGCCTCGGGGCACTCGGGACCTGGCGTAATGGACAAGAAAGGACCTCAGCGCTTCCTTGGTTTCTGCTACGTGACACAGGCTCCCTTCCAGTCCAGAGGATGAGACATTATCAGCCCATGCCCCTATCCCCAGCACAGGACAGCTCTCCCAGAGGTTTCCAAAGGCCTTTTGATCGAGATCAAAATGGAAGGTGTTCTGCTCTACAGCTTGCACTGCCGATGTAAACTATTCCTGCTTGGTGTGCACTTAATATGGACAGAACTGGGCAGGCTGTTAAAATCAGAATGGGAAGCAAACTGAGAAGTGTTTAATAAAGATTTGAGCTGCAGGGATTGTAGGTTAGCAACAGGAGGATGATAATTACAGTGAAGTTGCTTACCAAGGGGGGTAAATAATGCAAGGACAAAGTGGGCAAATAGAACAAACTGAATATGTGTTCCTCTGATGCCCTTCATATCTTCCAAAACCCGCTAGTTCTTTTGAAAAAAAAAAGAAAAAAAGAAAAAAAAAAAGAATACTTACAGGAAGGCAGAGGAGACCATCTGGAAGGTGTTCCAGAAGGGGATGCAGGATGCTGTGTAATATCTTTGGAAAATTATTTTGCAATTCTCATCTACATCTAATGCTTCTTCCTATTACAAAGTGCAGGGGCTATCTGGAAAGCTCTCACTCTTGCTAAATAGCATTGACTCTTTGGAAACCTGCAGGCTGGTTCCTGCCTAATTCCTGATCTGCAGGTGCTTATCCAGACTCCCAAGGGAAGCGGTCTCTCCCTTTCCCTGCCTGGCAGAGGGTCTTGCTACAAAATGAATGTGGTGTTGGCTGCTGGGCTGCAGACTCGTCTCTGGCAGAGTTCTAGATCAGAGCAGGAGCTTGGAGAGCAAGGGACAAAGCAAGGTCAGAAGCCCAAGGACGCGTGGAGGATCCAGAAGCAGAGCAAGGGCTGGAAACCAGGACATCTGCGCCAGGAGGTGGAGGCGGGAAGAGGAGCAGCACCAGGGCTCGGAGCGGGCTCAGCGGATGCAGGAGGATTCAGCAGCTCTGGGTGTCCCTCGAGGAGCGGGCACAGGGCAGAGCCCTGCAGGGTGCAGGGACGGCAGGAGCATTTGCTACAGCAGCAGCTACTTCTGGTTTAGTCTATTCTATTCAGACAGTCCCTGGGGTTATTTTGGCACCTTTTGGCAGCCTGGAAAAGCCTCCATAGATTCTGATAGTTAAAAATGTGTTAAAATTTTCTTGTTTCTGCTTGCTTCCTTTTTATTTTTTTTTTCCGTGAAAAAGACCTGACTTTGCTGTTAGACTCTTCTCATTGCTCCTGCTTATTTTTCTTTTTTTCAGCCTACAAGGAGAAAATGAAGGAGCTGTCTCTGCTCTCCCTCATCTGCTCCTGTTTCCACACCCAGCCTCATCCTAATACCATCTACCAGTATGGAGGTATGTATCGTGTCCATAGAGAAGCTATGGAATTGTTTGCATATCCTCCCAGCTAGCAGCCTTGCTGACCACGGGAGCTCTCTGGCACACCGAGCTGTCCCATGCTGGAAAAGCAATCCATGTTTTAACCCATGGTCTCAATTCAGTCACCTTTCACAGCTCATTTTATGGCCCTAGTCGTCTTTTACAGTTTATTTTATGGCTCTCAGGTGAACACTCTCCTTTTGGTTTGTTTGTTTTTCCCCTTCACAAAGATATGGAGGTGAAGCAGCTGGATAAGAGGGCATCGGGCCAGAGCTTTGAAGTGATCCTGAAGTCCCCTTCGGATTTATCTCCTGAGAGCCCAATCCTCTCCTCTCCCCCCAAGAAGAAGGATCTGTCCCTGGAGGAGCTGCAGAGGAGGCTGGAGGCTGCCGAGGAGAGGAGGAAGGTAAGGAGACATTCCATAAAAGCACTGAGTTCTGTGTGGTTGGTCCTAATTGCACCAAGCCCTAAAATTCTTCTATCAAGCACAATCTAAAATGACTGGAAATAGTGTTCTTACATGTGTTCTTATTAATCTATAAACTATTGAGTGCGACAGGGGTGTTGCTCAGTGAATTTTGCAGCCTGTTTTAGGCAGGAAATTGAACCTGATCACAATCTTCTGTTCTCAAAACTGCAGACGTACGTAGTTGTCTGTGACACAGTGTCCATGAGGTGCTATGGGCTGAGATCCTTTGCAGCTCACGCAGTAGATGTGAATTTGGTCAGACCCTCGGGCCCTCACGCGTTTTCCCATGCGTTGCAGACCCAGGAAGCGCAGGTGCTGAAGCAGCTGGCGGAGAAGCGGGAGCACGAGCGGGAGGTGCTGCACAAGGCCCTGGAGGAGAACAACAACTTCAGCCGGCTGGCCGAGGAGAAGCTCAACTACAAGATGGAGCTGAGCAGGGAGATCCGCGAAGCACACCTCGCCGCCTTGAGAGAGCGGCTCCGCGAGAAGGCAAGCGCGCCGCGGGCCTCGGCCTCGTGCCCTTGTCCTGGCGGTGCCAGGCTCGCCCGGGTGCACCCGGGGCCTCTACATCCCATGGGGTATCCACATGCCTAGTTGGTCTCTTCTGTCTTTTCAGGAGCTGCATGCGGCTGAAGTTCGCAGGAACAAGGAACAGCGGGAGGAGATCTCTGGATAAAGGGCTTTTCTACACATCCAGCACCTGGTTCCTGTTAACAAATCGACCAACCCACACATTTTATTTTGTTTGTCTAGATGCAACATTTGGGTCTCCATTCTTTCCCTTCCCTGGTGTTAGTGCCCCAGCTACACGCTTCTATCTCTGCATCCTTAATCGTTCAGTACTCGTGGGGATTCACAGATCATAGGGACCTCTAAGCAGAATAGCAACTAGTTCACGTGAAATATAGGATCAATGAATCAGTCAATCAAACAGCTTCTTGGGGGGGTTGTCTTTTTTTAAAAGATATTTCTTAAACTGATGTAAAGAATTAAGTTATTAATAAATTCAACCAGCAGTGTCACGGAGATACGGATTTCTTATCCGGGGCTTTTACTACTCTTGGTGTTTGCTCTGAGCCAAGTATCAGTTTGAGAATAATGGCAAGTGATAATTTCTTTATGTGAAGTGGTATAACTAATAGATTCTTTATTTCCCAGTAGTAGGAGACAGGAACAAGAGAGGGATGGGATGGCTCAGGTAGTTACAGCATGCAGACCTGTCCATGCCTTGGTTGTTACCTGAAGCCAGCCCAGGCAGGCAGTGACCAAAAGTCATTATCTTCGGATGATTCTTAGTTGCTCAAATGCAAATAGCTTGGGGTCTGCAACCAGAACTTGGTGAGAGATGCCCACCTCGCAGGAAGTCCCTATCACAGCAAGCACGACTTGATATCCTAGTTGGCCACAGACTGAACAAGCCTGTAGACTGAACTGCCCTTTCCCCAATAGAGGGAAGACCAAGGCAGCTTGGTCAAGCAGCTTGGGAGAATCTTGTGCTGCTGTTGCCTCTATTGAGCCTGGGTCCTTGCATGTCCCGGGAGGACAAGGCTGGGTCTCCAGGCCTGTCCAGTGCTTTCACAAACACAATACTTAACTCCAGTTAGAAAACAGTTCAAATAGAAGTGGTGTGTGATTGTGAAATAGCCCCCAGGCCTTTAGCGAACAGGATAATCATCCTTCCCTCCTTCCAAAGATGGATGTGACTCAGGACACACATTGAGACCAGAGATCATGAGACGAACCACTGAGCTCTGGTTCTTAGGCAGCACGTTGTAAGAAAGGGCACGCTGGTTGCTTGCAGGGTCCTTCCAGACTTGCAGCTTTGGAAAAGAGAGAGCTAAGAAAGGAGATGAAGAGTGAAGAGATGTTCACATGCTCGTTTGTTGTCCACTTTTCAGGGGCTATTTTTAAGAAGTTTCTCTCTCCGTGGAGGTAGAGACAAGCAGAAAATATGCAAGCGTGGCAGTAATAGCTGTAATGTCTGATCTAAATAGACAACTGTCAAAGCCTGTGAACTTCTCAGTCTTCTAATGTTGTGATTTGTGAAGCTAGCTGAAGCCCAGGCAGCCGCCGTGCCAAGCGCTAAGGGATCTGCCATCCTCTCGTTAAGATCCACGGAACTGCTGACCCTCAGCGCCAGCTCTGCGTCTGGCTTGAAAACCTGCTTGGAAAAGTTGCATCCGAAGCGCAGGGAGCTGCCATCCTGTCGCGAGCGGGGCCTCGTAAGACGTGTGCTGAGGAGCCGGCCCCCGTAAGAGCACGGTCCTGTGGCAAGATGCTGCAGAGAAGGTGGATGCTGCTTTCATTTGAAGCCGAAGGTAACAAGAATTCCCCTTTGTCCAGCTCGTAGAGACAACTGCGATGTTTTTGTGCTAGGTCAGTGTTCCCGGACAAGGCAGCTGGGAGCACGGAGCAGGTGCAGACGCAGCCGGATTCCTGGTGCTTGTCCCCAGGGTGCCTCTCCCTTCCGCCCTGGCAGCAGCCGTCCCTCCCTGGATGCTACCTCACATTTCAGAATAAACCAAAGGGGCATCCGAGGAAACGAGACATTTAATTACTAGTAATTGGCATCCTGTGTGCATCAGGCGGGAGCCGCTGCAGGGGCTTTGCGGGCTCCCTGGGGACGTGCCCGCAGCCGAGGCCGCGGGCTGGCGGTGCCCGTGGCTGCAGGGAGCGTTAACCTCGCACAGAGGTGCCCGGCAGCGGGCAGAGATGCAGCAGACGAGCGTTTTGCATTGGGAATAACGGGCCACTTGCCTCTCGCCCCTTCTTACAAACACTCCTTGCCGAGTCTTTCCAGAAGCCCAAGTGCTCAGCCTGCCACGTGCTTCCCCTGCGCGAGGAATCGCGTTTGCCCTCAGATAAGCATCGGCCGGGCACGGAAACCCAACGAATGCCAAAGAGCAGCAGCTGCTGGAAATCAAATCCCTAGCCTCGTTGTTAATCTCCCAGAATTCCCATTTGGATTAGGGAGAGATCCCTCGATGGCCACGACGTGTCTGATGTTAGGGGAACACTCTGCTCCTACAAGGAAGGGCTACTCACCCCCTCTGCCTGGGCCGGAGGGCTCCAGGCTGCTAGGAAGCCCCAGCGCCATCCAGGGATGGGAAATGTTTGGGGCAAAGAGGGAAAAGGGAAGGAAACTGAGGGTTGAATTTCTTAACAGTAGCTAATGATCAGTTTATAGTAGCAGCTGTCTTAGATAAGCATCTGTGTAGAGCGCGGAATCACCGCCAGCATCACCTCATCCATATAGCGACGATACATTTCAAAAAAGTTTAAAAAAATTAAAAAAGTAATTTAAACAAAATGTTTGTGTGTAAGAAACGGTTGAAACTGTCAAATGTCTGTGTCCCGCGTTGGTGGGATCTGAGAAGGTATCTGCAAGATATTAACCCTGTCCTACTCTCTGTGGTGCTGAGTGTTTGCTTGGTGTGTAATTCTGACCTGAGGCTTGTTGTAAATACTGTTTTTAGTACTATGATGATGATGATGATGATCAGAAATGTTGTATTCATGAGCAGGAAGCTTGAAACAGGAGAAATGACCATTTTCGCTCTATCACTGGGGCTCGGAGGCCGGGTCGGGTGCAGGCAGGATGCTGGGCCCGTGGGATGGGGCTCCCGGGGGCAGAGCCGGCCCATCCGCCCGCTCCGCAGCCAGGGAGCTGCGGGGAGCAGAGTCCTGCGGGCAGCGGGAACGGGAGCAGCGAGAGGCTGCTCCGAGGCTTGGGGAGAGGCAGGAGGGGCTGAGATGTAATAAAGATGGTGCTTAACTCGATGCTCAGTCCCGGGATGCATCATTTGGCATGAACCCCCCTGCGTGAGGATGCTCCGGTCTGTCCCCTGCAACTAAAGGGCAAGACTGAGGTTGGGCCTGCACCATGGGAGGAGATGGTGGGGACAGACTGTGTCTAGTTAGAGTGACCCTTCCCCAAGTGGCTCCGGAGCCTTGGGAATGGTTTTCTTCCTGGACCTTGCCCCTCTGTCTGTGCGGTGCCAGCTAAGGCCTAGCAGCGGGTTCCCTGGTGCAGCCAAGGGCCAGCCTTGCTCTGTGTTGAAGCCTTGTTCCCACGGCCACTTTGCCCAGCCAGGAAAAGCGCCGGAGATGGTGGGAGAGCGACCTGGCAGGCGCGGAGCGCCCTGCTCCTCCGGCCTCGGGAAGCAGGGCCGAGCTGGGCCGAGCCGTGTGTCAGCCATAGCAGGGGCCAACTCAGTGCCAGGGAAACCTCTTGTGCAAAGGGAACAGGATCTCGTACAAAGGGATGTCACCGAGGAGATCCCGTTAACCTGTGGGGGTGGCTTTGAACGCCAGCCGTGTGGATTGCACGCGTCCTGCGTCCTCCCCGGCACCGCGCGAGCTTCCCATCGCTTGCGGCTCTCGGCCTGGCCTGCGGCGCTCAGGAGCTGCGCAGGGCTGCGGTGCTTTGCTCGCTTGCAGGGTCGGGCATTCCGCGGGGCACACACTCAGGAAAGCCCTAAGGAAATGTTCCTGTTGTCACGGAATGAGTCGAGGAAAGGCTGCTCATGGCGCTAGAGATTTTTGCTATCCGTGCTAGGAATGAGATGACACCGATTAACCCACCTTCACAGCCAGTTGTCCTCTAAGGGAAGCAGGAGAGGGGCCCTGGCCACCACCTGCAGGTCCCCAATCCCTGTCCCCAGAGCGTAGGAGGGTGACAACCCAAGAGGCGCCAGCCAAGCGCCTCGGCTCCACCAGCCTCCCGGTTTTCCTGCCTGGGACGCGGGGCCGCAATCCCTGCCGGTGTCGGGAAAGGGCTTCCCACCGCGATCAAAGCCTTGCCTGGTTCCTCCAGGTCCGCCGCGCGCGTTTCCTTGTCAACTCGAGGTTGTTGTTGTGCAAAAGAAGTGACTATGAAAAAAATGGAAAAAAAAAGGAAATAAACTTGGTATGAAACCACAGGTGTCTGTCTTGCTCTGTTAATTCACTGGGTTGATTCTGCTTGTGTTGTGAAAATAATAAAGTGCATCAAACAAAAAATCAATGCGAAAATTTAACAAAATAGAAGTGAAGTATCTCTGTCCTTTGTTGGTCTAATCCCTTGCATCCTCAGCTGATGGAAAGGAAGCAAGATCCATGCTTTAACTCTATTCTCCAAGAAAAACACAGCTAAAAGCTTGAAGGAAGGAAAAGCAAACAAACATCCCCAATGGGCAGGAAGGTGAGGGCAGGAAAACTCCTTCCAGGGGAACATCAAAAACACACAGAGGCAGTGATTACAAATGGGATATATCTAAGCTAGAACCTCCATGAGCCGCGCGGCAAGGCTGGGAGGAAGGGGGACACCCAGAGTGGC